TCCAATGTCTGTGTCCGTGATAGTGACTTTCACTTAAACAGTCAATGAATTTCTCTGTAGATCTACCAGGATATCCACAGTTGCATCATCAATATCAAAGAACTGGGAAGAGAAGGAGTTAGATTAAGTATTCTTCGTGAACCTAGTGTCATGGTTGAAGCTACAGGACAATCTATATTTAGTATAAATAGATAAATATTGGCATACAACAGTGGTCTGGACCAGCAGTTTTAAGTAAAGCACCGAGCTCAGTATGTGGGAAAGTATGATATAAATGCCTTGAATACATGGGGCCTCTCTGGACTCTGGTAGTTATGTAATTAAGCATAAATTGATTTGGGTAATGTACTGATGGAAATCCAGAGGAAGTTCTATGACAGCCCAGAGGAGGGAGCCCTTCAGGCTGGTGGGGGACTGTGTGGTTTGTGAAAGTTCCCTGAGCAGGTAATTGAACTGACCCTTGGAAATCCTTGCCCTCCATACATTCTAATCTTGGTGGAAAGACATAAACAGAGCACCGAGAACAATTCAAGACCCTATCTTGTAGGTTCTGCAAGACAGACAATGCTTGCCCTAGGAATTCCCAAGATGAGACTAACTTATTTGTCTGGGAGTGAAAAATAGTGTCCTCTCTAATGAAAGCTAACAGAGAAGGGCATTGGGCCACAAAATTTAAATCTATGGAAAGAAGAGGGAGCTCCTTTTAGTGAGCACTAACTAGATTGCACACAAATTAATTTAATCCTCACGACAACACCATGGTACAGTCACTGAGACTCAGAAAAATTAAGCAACTTGCTGAAGGTCTTAGGAACCCAGGCCATTGTAACTCTGAAACTTGTACTTTGAGCCTCCTTTTATCCAATCAAACACTTCTAAATCTTTAAGGTTCTACTTAGATATTACTCACCTAACTTTGAGTAGATCCTTAGGCCTTCCTGGTAGCATATATTATTTTCAATTATTTACAAAGAAAATGTGTATTAAAGGAGTGTATCCTAAGCATGATGGCAGGAAATAAAAGAGGTTTTAGGACCAAATGTTCTCCCAAAGTCTAAGAAAGTCCCCAAGGAAGAGGTGGGAGGCTAACCAAATATGGACTGATTAGATGGGAACTGTTCTCATAGGCAAACTGGGGCCTCCATTATATTTCAGACTTGCAAGTGACCTTAGGCATCTTTGACTCCTGCCTTTTCATTTTACATAAGAGCAAAGAAACATGCAAAGATCTCACTCAGGTGAGAATTATATTCAGTGTCCCCTCACTCAAATGATTTCGTTTCTAGTACAAATGATAAAGAATGGGAATACACTATCCTAGCAGCACAGGCCTGTAATATAATCCCAACTACCCCGGAGGCTTAAGCAGGTAAGAAATTCAAGGCCTGTCTAGGCTACGGGGTGAGCACAAGGCCAACCTAAATGACTTGGTGTGACTCTATCTCCGGATAATAAAAGATGGAAAGAGGGTTAGAGAAATAGATTAGAGGCATATACTAATGCCTATCAGTAGTAGAGCATGGGTACTGCTTTCATGTGTGAGCACTGGGCTCAATTCCTAGTACTGAAAAAGGAAATATATATAGAACAAGGAAAAAGAGAGGAGATCAAATGATGGAGTGAAAGGGGAGCTAACAATACATGATGAATCATTATATTACACACAAGCAGAAGGTCATGTATAAGTCATTGGTTAGAGTGGACTGAGCCATAATCTACAAATAGTAATTCATCTAATTTTCTGAGACACTACCTTAATAACAAGCAATTGTATACATATGTGTATAAAAAAAAACAGGTGAGGTAAAATAGCAATTGTAACTTTAATTTTTAATTAACTAACTAATTCATTTATAGGAGCAGGGAGCACCACAACTTGTGTGGAGGTCAGTGATAAACTTGTAACAGTTGGGTCTCTCTTGGTCCTGGGAATCAAACTCAGGCTATCAGTCTTGGTGGTGAGCACCTTTACCCTCTGAGCCATCTCACTGCCCTGTAATTGTATGTTGAATGTCTAGAGGAGTAAACAGTTTTTCTAATATCTCCCAGCGTATTTAGAGACTGAGGTCAAGGATCAGAACAACCCTTAAGTCAAGGCTCCTCTGCCTCCTCAGTTCACTCTCTGCTATAGAAGAAAAATAACTTGACCTCTGTTTAAGTCTATGTGTCTTTAAGAACCCAGGGAGCCCTTTGGCTTCAGCAGACAGTAGAATACATGGTGTTTATAGACCAATTCTATAGTTTACAAAGTTTTATGCCCTAGGGTATGCTTCATTCTCAGATTAACTTGTGATTTATAAATTCTCATTTTAAAGATGGAAGGGTGAAAGTGTAGAGAAGTAAAGAAACTGACAGAGGACGGGGTACTGATCCTTGCTGGAAGGAGAGGAGACTGAAGCTGAAAGTCTTCGGTTCTCAGCCCTAGTTGGAGAGAGGATAAAATGTGAAATGTCAATGAATATTGAAACTACTACACACAATGGTTTAAAGGGGCCCCTAGGAATATAGTTCCCGAATGCCTAATCATATCTAGCATTTGAAGTGGGCAGGAGCAACAGAATGTGTAGTTTGTCCTCAATCTCCTTTTTCATTCCATTGAATGACAACCTTATAACTTTATATAAGTGAATTGGAGTTGCAGTAAAGGAGAGATTTGCCTGGAAAAATTCCGCATCTGTGGCACTGTGCACGCAACATCTTTTTCCTTCCAACCCATCTCTAAAGAACACATGTAGGCTATAACACAATTTTCTCTTTATAGCTGGAGAAACTGAGTTCAAACATTCTTGACCTAAGACTATATGGCAAGTCCTTCCCTAACCAGGAAGTCATGAATGTGGAATAGCCCATTTGCAAAAGAGTGCCTTAATTTCTGCATTCCACATTCCAGCTTTTATGATGGGGACTTCTGAGTCACTGCTCAGCTTACAAATCTTTATACTTTTACCAGCACACATTCTCCACTGGTTTTCTCCCTCCCTGAAGCATGTAGGGATGATCCCAACTCACGGGCAGATCTGAAACAGCCCTGAAGACAGGAACATCATAAGGGATAAAGTTATAAATTAGTATCATCAACTCAACTTCTCTTTTTCCAGCACACAATTCTACCTCTAACAGCATTTTTATCAGTATATTATTTGGGCAGTTTGGCAACTAATAATTTCTAATCCACCACCACTAACTTATTTTGACTTATTAAACACTTAGAAGGAAAGACAACTGTTTTGCCATATTTTCCCAGTTCAAAAACAGAGTCACAAACCAGCAAATGGCCAGCTCCTTACCTGTGAGTGAGACAGGACCAGAGGAATCAGATTTTTTACATTGAAATTAGGTACATTCACATTTTCATCTGGTTTATATACAACAAAAATAATGTCTGACAACAAACAAAATATTTTAAGAGTATTCAGGGGCAGTCAGAGACCCAGCACAGGTTCTACGGTTTCTATAAGGCAGATGCCCTGGAAATCGCTTCTGCCCTGTGGTCGCTGACGATTCAGTGACTTCTGAAATAACCTTTGGTTTAGCTGAAGTCTGGTAGGGGCTCAGGGGACAGGGGACTGGCTCATCACTACATAACTGTAAGGAAATGTGGTAAGGGGACAAAAGAAAGGCCAAAATAAATAAATAAATAAATAAAAGACAGGGAAAGCAAGAGAAAGAAGGAGGAAGAGGCAGAGAGGAAGATGGGGAGGAATGGAGTGGGGGGAAAAGAGAGAGGATAGAAGTTGAGAGAAAAAGATGGAAAGTTGGAGAAAGAAAGGAAGAAAAGGGGACAGATTGTTGAAAAGAATCTGAGGAACGAGTTTCAAGACTCTTCATGTGTTGTGGAAAAGGATGAGGCTTACCCAGCAAAGTGCAAAGGGGCCCGAGAGAAGACAGATTTCTCTCCCGCCACTAGGAAAAATAAAAAAATAAAATAAAACAAAATAAAAATAAGGGGAGGGGGAGAAAGAGGGAGAAGCAAGCAAAACAAAACAAAACCAGGAATGTGTGCTTTGAGCTGGATGGAGAGCAGGGAGGACCGTCAGGGGGTGTGTACAGAATTTCATTAAATTGTTACTTTAAGATTGTCTTCTTAAAAAAAAAAAAAAAAAATAGGGGGTGGAGAAGCGGGAGCGAAGGCATTGGAGACACACGGCAAAGTGGAGGAAGGCTGGGTGGCTCGGCCTCTCCAAACCGATTGATTGGCCATGATCCCCGCAGTTCTAACAGGGACTCATTCAATTGGGAAGGTGGAGCGCTGGGGAGCAGATTAGCACCCGCTTGTTTACTCGTCTTCTGAGGGATTTTTCCCCCCTCTTTCCTTTCATTTTGTGAAGAAGGAGGGAGGGGAGGGGGCGGGGGGGAAAGGGGGCTGTGGCTTGTGTTATAAAGGACGCAAAAAATAAATAAATTAGAGCATCTTGTGGGGGAGGGAATTCAGCGGATCAGTGTCTTAGAGGAGATTTTTTTTTTTTTTTTGGAGAGCGAGAAATCATATAAAATAAAATGAAATAAAACAAGGAGGAAGGCATCCAGCTGATAGAGGGGGGAGAATAAGGCCGATAAAGGAGCGGAGAGAGAAATTAATTGCCAACCAGGAGGAGTTGGACTGTATTTTTCAAAGGTGGGGGGAGTGGAGCACACACCTTGAGGAGGAAAGCGAGAAAGAAAAGAAAAAGCAAGTGGAAGGGGGGGCTCGCCCGACAAGCCAAGAAAGTCGAGGCGCCTA